TTAATCATGATTTATAAATATATAGTGGTCAAATTTGAAAAAAATAATAATAAAAAGTCAAATTCAAACACTATTTAAGGAAGTATTTGTTATTTGGAAGTAAGCTCGGAAGGCAGATTTCGCTTGTGAACTAGTAGCCTTGTTAATTCAAATAATTTGGACAATTAGTAGTTTTCGACATTCCTTTTTGGTTTAGATTTTGAATTAGGTTGGTGATTGGTATCGGACAACAGGTGGTGTGAGTGCAATTTGCAGTCAGAATTTTAAAGTGTTTAGGAAAGAATGCTATCTTTCTGCAGTTTGCTTCCCTTCTTTCTCATTGTCAAGAGAAACAAACGAAACTCATTTTTTTTTCGTTTTCATATGGTTTTTTGAGGATATGTTTTCTGAAACATAGTAGAGAGCTGGTTTGATTCCTTTTAGATTCTTCTCCCTTTGAAAGTTGGTGTTTTATGGTTTTTAACTTTTTTCTTCATTTGATTCAATCAAACAGAAAAGAATGATAGAATTAGCATTTTGACTGATATGGATTTTCGTATGATTGCAGTTACCTGATGGAGTGTAGAAAGAAGACTTGCCAAACTCCATAGACACCAACAAATGGGTACATATGTGGGTATATTTTAATATGTAAATGAGGGTATTGAAGGATTGGCATTTCTTCGTTGAAAACATGGTAGAACTGCCAAAAGTTACAAGTTATTGCATTGTGTGGGAAGCACTGTGGACGCTTGTCATCTTTATTTAGAACACTCATGGAATGCACAAGTTTTCTCTATACTTAGATGAACTCTGTTTTGGTAGTCTTCCATTAATTTCCTTTCTCTCTCTCTCTCTCTATATATATATATATCTATATATTTATATATATGTAATGTGGGGCATAATATGCAGTGTTCGCATATTAATTCTAAGGCCAGTGTTTGTCTCCTGCCCCTACCCCAACTCGCTTTGGAGTTTAGCCATTGAGATTCCGATCCAAGCAGGGAAACTTTATTTTGTCACATGGATGTTGTAGGGATATTCCTTTGCATCCTGGTGGAAAGATAGCAGCATTGCCCAATCATCTGCACTGCAGAAAGGCCAAGTAGGAATAGCTCTTGTCCCATCGTTGTTAATTTCTGGTAAATAAAAGCGACCATCTGTGTTTTAAGCAGCAAATTTTCAAGTACATGTACAAGTATAGCAGATTAATTTTGGAAAAGATATAGTTCTAGTTTTCATCATCAGAAGTTGTCTTGCATTGGATTAACATATTTTCTTTGGTGGGATTTTGTTTTATGATCCTTGTCTTTTAAGTTTCTCCAAGAATTCGACCAGGAACGTAACTAGAAAAAGTTGCCCAATTTAGAAAGAAATGAAGGAAATCAGTTGCCATGGATGGTTTCTTGTTTGAGAACCGAGAAAAACGTCAAGCGAGATGTGCGCTTGAGGCGTTTGTGTTTTGGCTAGTGGCCCACACGATAAACACATTTCGGATTTAGCGGGACGATTGAACTGTTAAAAGTCTTAATGGTAAGTCGCCGACCAACTTTAAGAGGGTAGGTTCATTCCCAACCAGTTCCCAAGAGTCAAGGCTTCACCTTGGAAGAAACTGAACAGCTAGCATGCATTTGGAAATGTTATAGCAAATACTGTAAACGTCAAAAGGGGCTTATTTCAGCCTTTGGAAAGGATCCTTGGAATATCTCTCGTTGAAAAACTTACCCCAATTTTCAATCCTTTTGTTTTCAGGATTCAATGGAAATGGACCCCCTCCCACCCCATTCCTGCACCCTTTCTATAGTACAGGGAATAGAGAAGAACCCACGTCATTTCTACATTGTTTATTTGTTTATAGTCATCCTGGAAACTTTCTTTAGCGGCTGTCAACGTCACGTCATCCATGAGAGGAAGGAAGCAAAATCTAACCTGCGCAGAGCAGAAGGTTTCCCCCTTTTCCCCACTCCCCTGTTTTCTCCATTGTAACCCTAAAGGTTTTTTTATTTGTAATTCCAGGCCGGCGGAACAAATTGGATATCCTATATCTTGACCGAGCAAAACAAATTTCGGAGTCATCAAGCAGGGTTTGATTGTCATAATTTCACTTTTTATCATAATATAAAGCCCGGGTCGTCTATGGTTAAAGAGGTTTGTACTTTAGGAAGTCGTCGGCCCTGCCATTGGGTGCAGCGAAAGTCATATAATTAAGAACTGGGGTCGGGTGATTTTAATTTTTACATATATGAGATGTCCCAATCCGCTGTTTTTGCACTCCAAGTTTTAGTGTATTTGTCAACTACGAGGGTAGCCATGTCAATTGATGTAGAAAATCTGTGACATATATTGCCGTGCATTTCGCTCCGCATGCTAGTATTTCCTTTTTTTTCAACCCAAATGTTTGATGATGTTACACATGTGATTCTAATTGCATTTTGAAACCCTTTTCCGTAACATTATTAAATTGCCAAACACTTGTAGGGTGTCGTTCTGCTTCAGGGTGGCACTTATGTTTTGCAGATGACCTGATGGTCTTTTTTGATGATGGCACTAAGAGATCCATTTTGTGTATCCAGAATATTCTGCAAAGCTTTTGTTCTATTTCTAGTTTGCAACTTAATGAGGCTAAAAAGTGAGCTAAGTTTGTGCTGGTTTGTCCCCTGATGATGATGTTGTTGAAATCATAATGGAAATTGGTTTTTCTGTTGGTCAGCTTCCTGTTGGGTATTCCGGATTACCTCATCATTTCCTGCAAGCTGAATGATAAGATTACTAGTAGAATCAATGGTAGGATTCTAGGAATCCATCTTATGCTGGCTGTTTGCAACTTGTTGAATCTGTTTAGTTTAGCATCCTCAACTCTTGGTGTGATATATTTCTATTGCCTAAGAGAGTTATTCACAAGATTAATCAACTATGCTCTGGTTTCTCATCAAAAGGTAAAGAGAGCAACGGAAAGCATGCCAAAGTTAATTGGCATTATCTCTGGTCGTCCTAAGGCTGAAGGTGGCTTAGGCTTACAGGATATGGCCATTTGGAATAAGGCCTGTGTAGTCAAACAACTTTGGACTATTTATTGAAAACCTGCAACTATATGAGTAGCCTGAGTTCATGAATATTTGATTACAGGCAGGAGCTTTTGTCATATACCTGTCCCTCAAAATTGTAGTTGGTGCTGGAGAAACATTTTAAGACAAAGGGACTCTGCCTTAGCACCTAATAAGCATGATATTTGAGATAGGAGGAATACTTTCCTCTGGATAGACCACTGTCACCCTCCTGGACCTCTCTTGAACCGTTTCTCTAGGAGTATTATGATGGCATCTGGACTTCATAAAAAAGTCAAGGATTGGCCTAGGACTAGACCAAGGGCCATTTTGGATATTATTGCAGCTGTTGATGGTATTATTACTCCTAATCCACTACATATTCCCAGGCATACTATCATTGCTTGGTTATGTGTACTGGACAAACTCCCCACTTTGGCAAGATTGAACCATTGGGAAATTCCTTTGCAAAATATGAACTGTTTTTTTTTCTGTGGAAAACGATCAAGATTGTAGGAATTATATCATCTTTACTTGTCCTTTTACTAAAACAAATATGGGCTGCTATTTTGCAGAAATCTTGGCTTAAATGTGTGCTGGTGATCTGCTTTATAATTATGCTGTTTGCAGGGAACGCAATGGCAGAAAATATGGAGGCTCGTACTAAGATTCTGCTTCAGCAAATTCTTCTTTATGTCTTCAGTGGGCCATTATTTTGATTTCCTTTATGTAATGATTATGCTACATTTTCTTTTATCTTATAGTTCTAATTTTAAAACAGCAAGATTGTATCATATTTTGTAGCAGGATTTACTTTACTTCTTTATATAATAGATAAAATGGAATTAGTCTTAGTAAGACCGGGTCATGGATACCGTGTCCTTAGTGCTGTTCCTTTTCTTTGCGTTCTCGTATGAACAGGTAGACACCCAAGATCCAGATTGGGATTCGCCACGTGAACTTGCAAAGGTTGTGTTGACTAATTATTAGCTTCGTTCCTCATCTATGTTAATCAATTGCATGGCTCTTAGTAACAAAAAAAGGCACCCATTTTTCACAAAACAAAGAAAACAATCATATTCATCAAATGGATATCATTCGGTTGTTTATTACTAATTGGATAAGATACTTGCTCATGGTTATGGTCTATTTCGCCTTTTTTACTTTTGTCATCCATCAATTCTCAATAGCAAAATATCAGTTTGATCATTGGGCCATTAGCAGAAAATGGTGAGTGAAATCGAGCCATGCAGGGTCTTAGAATCTTTTTCTCAGCTACCAAACAACTTAACTAAAAGGCAAAAAGGAAAGAAACCCTGAAGAATTATTAGCTAAACACATCATTTAGACGTGTATATATATATATACATGAAACCAAGGAGATAAACTACCAAGGTTTTCTTTCGAGTGCAAGAACTTGTGTCTTCTGTCCGAAGTATGCTTGTTCACATGAGTGTGTGAATCAGAAAGAACTAGTCTACCACGATCCAAGGCACTGGACTGGTCCCAAGTGATTCTCGTTCTAATAAGTGCAGTCAGGCCGGTCTTGTTTTCTCATGGAAATATAGGAAATAAAAAACTTTCTGTGTCTATCAAAATTTATGATCCCTGCCCCTGGAATTTCTGTTTACTTGAGCTAAAAAAAAAAAAAAAACCATTATGCTATGGAAGACGAAATTCTATCTACCAATCTGCAACTTGACTGAGGGTCCCAGAAGCTCAAGGCTGTGGGGAAGCTACCGTTGACTTTCTTGGGTCTTAATTTTCTCATCCATTTTTATATTGCTGCTTTAAGAATCTTAATTCACCAGAGAAGAAAAAGAAGGAAAATTAGCTCTTGTTTTGTCCACATTTTACACCTTGTTTGCTTCAATTATTTAGCACATCTTAAGGGCAAGAAAAGAGTACAAAAAGGGAGTTTGGAATATTGAGAAGGAGAATGAAAAAGAAGCGACATTAACGAGAGAGAAGAGAGAGACAGGGGAGAGAGTATTATTATTTGAAAGAAAAAACAAGGAAAAAGTCCAAGCAAACAAGTCTCCTTTCCCTATTTACTCTTCCTGGTTGGTTGTTTCTTTGCTCTTTCTTCTCTCCTTCCTGGAATGGAACCTGGAAAAAACAAAACTTAAAAAGTCAATATCAATATCTTCATCTATATAGCCTTTTCATTGCCAAAGATCGAAAGTTGCAAAAGACAAAGAGTTATCAGATATGGGGAACTGCTTTGGAACTCCAGTTGATCACAATAGCCAATGCACCACCAAGCCCTCCAGCCCAGGTACGTATCCTGAAACTTTCTTTCAAATTTCCTACAGGACCCTGATCGTGATTTTTCTTGTTTAGTTCTCTCTTTTAAGAAACTTTTGCCAGCAGTTTCACTTGAAGATGAATAACCAAATTCCCAATCTTAACTTAATTGCATCGTATGTGATTGATTATGCACATATGCAGAAGAAACGAAAAAATTGAAAGACAGTAAATCAAATGGATTGCTACCTACAAGAAACAACGAGAGTGCTGAAGATAACCGGACCGCAAGGGAAGGAAGAAGCAAGGAGCAAGAGACAATGCCCGCAAGCGGAAAGATTGTCAGCACGACCTTAAAAATATTCACTCTAGCTGAACTCAAGGCTGCCACCAGGAATTTCAGGCCTGACACGGTGCTAGGGGAGGGAGGTTTTGGCAGAGTCTTCAAGGGTTGGGTTGATGAGAAAACCTACGCTCCCTCAAAGGTCGGGGTTGGCATGGCTGTCGCCGTCAAGAAATCAAATCCAGATAGCTCTCAAGGGTTGCAGGAATGGCAGGTAATTAATTAAGTTTGCAGCATCTTGGGAATGTTTCAAAATTTTTCATTATAGGTTGAAGAGTTCAATTCCATGATGATCTAAACGCTGGCCGCCCTACAGAGAATCAAAAGTGCATTCGTTTTCCAACTATACGGCGCCGTATTATATCTATCAGTTGTCATGCATGAATACTTTTCTATGTTTATTTTCTGGCTACAGCCCCCTACATACGATTATGTTTTGGAAATAAAATTATAATTTCTGCCCTTCTTGTTCTTCCAGTTGACCTAACCAATATAACAAATCATATTGGAGGAGAACTATTGTTTTTTAGTAGTATTTTTGTAACATTAATTTCTGAAAGTTCATGTCGTCTAGGCTGACATAATTAAGACGTTTGCATTTTACATAGTATTTTTCTGCATTCGTCATTTTGGTATTGCGTATATATAGTAATCTTATGAATCCGCGCCGAAAGCTAATCATTTCGTGAATCTGTGAGCTCAGGCAGAGGTTAAATTCTTGGGCAAGTTCTGCCATCCGAATCTCGTGAAGCTCTTGGGATACTGTTGGGAGGAGAACCAGTTCCTCCTTGTCTATGAATACATGCAAAAGGGGAGCTTGGAAAACCACCTCTTCAGAAGTAAGAAACAAATCATTTCGGAAACAAAAACCTTATGCCTTCTTTTAATTTTAGTCGGAACCCAAGAAAAACTTAAGGCCGTATATAAATTTATTCTTGCAGTGGGAGGGGCGGAACCTCTGACATGGGAAACTCGGCTCAGAATAGCCATCGGGGCTGCTCAGGGCTTGGCTTTTTTGCATACATCAGAGAAAAGTGTAATCTACAGGGACTTCAAAGCCTCCAATATTTTGCTGGATTGGGTAAAACAAAAGCTCCTCTCTAAATCTCTTTTATGGCTTTAGCTTTCCAGGGACTACTTACATATGCAGTACATCAATCATTCTCCCAACTGTATTGTTTTTGTACGTAGTATCAACTTGCTATTATTTAAACAAGCTGCTTGTCTTCCGATTTCGTTTTTTCCAGGCTTACAATGCTAAACTTTCTGACTTCGGTTTAGCAAAGTTGGGTCCTATTAATGGCAACTCGCATGTCACCACACGGGTCATGGGCACTTATGGTTATGCAGCTCCTGAATATGTTGCCACAGGTAATTATTAGCCATCAAATCAACCCTTTCCTTTTAAAACAATTTGTGATCGAAAATGGTAAAACTACCAATTTCCCAGTAGAATATGTTTACCATGTATGGGAGTTAGAGAAACATGAGAGACTGACATAATAGATTGCACACAAATTTGTAGGTCATTTGTATGTGAAAAGTGATGTGTATGGTTTCGGGGTTGTGCTGCTGGAGCTGTTAACAGGCCTAAGGGCCCTGGATACAAATCGTCCCAGCGGTGAGCAAAATTTGGTGGAATGGGCCAAGTACTCCCTGACTCAGAAGAAAAAGCTCAAGAAAATAATGGACCCAAGGCTAGAAGAACAATACCCTATCAAAGCCGCATTGCAAACTGGTGAGCTCATTTTAAAGTGTCTGGAATCTGATCCCAAGAATCGTCCATCCATGGAAGAGGTGTTGGAGACGTTAGAAAAGATCAGTGCCATCAATGAAAAGCCTAAAGATAGCAAAGTTGGCACGTCGCACCGAAACGCTAAATGCCAAGAGGAACAACAAGGCCATTACAATCATCGGTCTCCGGTTCATTCTAGGCACGGTGGTGCTGGCACCGGAACCCAAAGGAACCAACGCCCCTCCACAGCTACAGCTAGGTCACGCCGGTAATAATGTTTCCCCAGATGTGCATGTGACATATTGTTTATCATTCCTACTCCTATAAAGCTTAACTTCAATCAAATTTTTCCCACTATTTCTTTGTACACTATTTTTGGACTCACTGGCAGCAAAGAATATGTATAATACAGGATTTACTTGAGGCCCAGTTGTACGCCCAAATCAAGAGCATGTACGTCTGTAACCTTGTTAATCACGACGAGAAACGTCCTGCCTTCATTCTCCAAGCAAAAATTCACCAGTTAACTCTAGTTCTTGAGTTGGGCCTTATGCATCAGGGATTACTTATCACCAAGAAGAGTTTTGGGCTTCTAATAGGTGCGGTATCGAGCCACCGGTAACCTCATTTCAAAATTGTGAGATTTAATAATTTTTATTATTTTGATTATTTCAATTTGAACAGATTAATACTCACTTTTAAATTTATTAAAATATTTTGTCCAAATACAATTAAGTCAGTCGAAATCATAATTCAGTCCGACCAAGGGTAATTTAATTTTATTTCTGGAACCAAAAAAATCAACATCGAATTCAATCAATTTAAATGATGTTTTACAGACAAACCCATTAATTCTCGCTCTTAAATTTAGTAACAAATTTGATCCAAACCTAATCAGGCCGAAATCATATAATTGACTCCAACTAAAGGCAGGCCAACACCTTATCTCTATCTGGATAAAAATTATTTTATTTGAAAACCAAAGCCAGACCATTACCGAACCAAAATAGACCATCTTCTGTTGATCTTTACAGTAAATGGTAAGCCCACCTTTCAGTGATTCGAAACCGTTTGTTCTTGATAATTAACAAACACCGGGCATTATTTAAAAGATACTAATGAAAAGATTATTGTCGACTGCAATGATAGAGCATCGAGTTTCTCGTGGAATCAAAATGGCAGCCCATGATTTAGGCTGGCCATGTCAAAACGTATAGAAAATTCATGACCACCTACTGGCCTGGGGCAATCAAGTTACTATCAATGCCTATTTTCTCCTGTCTGTACTTCTTTATCTAATGGGGAAAAACTTGGGCAATTCTCCGGATTATCTTTTAGCACTGGTAGTAATGAAAAAGAAGATCCGTCAATGGAAAAGAAAAGGATTCCTGGATTTATTAACATGCTACGTGAGCTGATGGCGACATTTGGGTTCATTTTTAAATTGCAGACAATGGATTGCTCTACCCCACCAGACCCTAACCTTATAGGTGTGCAAAACAATAATGCCGGGAGGAATTTATGAGTTATGACCATGTCTCCTTCAGTTTCATGCTTCCATGGTTCCACCTAAGAAAATTCAATGATTTAAAGAATAAAGGACAAAAAGCGTACAACCCTTAGACAACACATGAATAAAAAAAGCTTCTGATACTTGTTTACTTGCGACTAAGTCTTTCTTAATTCGAATAATTTTTTTTAATTGCTATTCATATAAATAAGATACTTCAACGAAATTTAACAGTCCTGAAATCTAATACTAATTGATATACTGTTAACGCCATATGTAAAAAAAAGAATCCTACTAAATTTATTATGCTATAATAGCAGTAAATGGATTGTTAAGTTTTAAGGCCAAAAGCTGAAAGTGATGAATAGGTTACGCAAGCGATTTTCAAACCCAATTATGATTAAACCAGGTTTAATCACAGTTTAGGAATATGATTCCACATGCTGCACGCTCTCCATTGCTGACCAACTTTTTTAGAAGAATGTTTTTTATCTTTATAGCTGATGCCCTAAGGAGTTTGAAGGATCTTGATGATCTTCTTAGTGGACTGGCTAATGTGGACCCATCGGGTGGCGCAACACTGGAGCCACTGGGCGGCGCATTGCATACTAATCATGATTGTATCATGAAGAATTGATGGCACCATATATTATATTTAGAATGGCAACAAGAGTTCTTTTTCCCCTGGTTTTCTTTTTCTGTAGATTTCACCCTCTCTGCTGAACTTGAACAATGTGTTGACATTACATACACAGGCGTGGCGATTTGTTCAGTACTCGATCAGTAGGGAAAGTTTTTGATGGGTGTTTTGATTGGGTTCAGACTTCTAGGCTGGTTGTTCTTTAGAATAATTAAGAAGGAATGACATAATTCTTCAAAGCCTTGAAGCATATTAGCTCATAAAATGATGCTGAACTTACCATGGAAATGAAGTATGCTTTTTAATAGAAACTTCTGTTTCCTTTTAACATTTATATTTTTGCTTGCTTTGCATATTTAAATGCAACGCCTGATCATTCCTAAGTTCACTTTTCGAACTGCCATAATATTTCATGAAATGGATAGTATCTTTATCAGACAATGCAGCCAAATGCATAATCATAAATCATTAAAACGTTTCTTCAAATGAGTTTTTTTTTTACATTATTTTATATATATTTACGGTTAAATGATGAACCCAAAAACATGAAAGCAATTTACATTGTTTTCTGCCTTTTGGGATTGAACAGAGACAGTCATCTGTAAGGAGTGTTAAGAGGGGCATTGAAGAATTCAAGATGGATCACTGTGCAACAGCTTTGAGCCCTCCCCCGCACCCCCTCTGCAACTTTTGTAATGATATGGGATGAAGGCTCGAGAAGTACAGGAGGCCCATCCCATCCCATTCCATCTCAAAAACTTTTAAGAAGCACAAGATCCCACTTCTTGGATCCCTAGAAACAGCATCATGCAGCGTTCTGCAGAGAATAAGCACATGATCTACTCTAAAGTCTGCCAGGACCACACCCTCCCTAGCTAAAACTTTAAAAAAACAAACATTTGTAGAGTCTGCTTAGACTAGGCCCACTCCTTTGCACTGTTTGTGATAGCAAGCCAGACTCCAGAGCTAAAAATTTGATGGGATCATACCAATTTTAATACTACTACTACTTCTTCTTTACTTTAATGTGAGTGTACCTCATCAAATTGGGCTCCATATATTATAACTAGAATTTCCTTTTGAGAGAAAAGGGAATGAATAGTTTTGTATCATTTGATGAGAGTTCTGATATTGTGTATATATATATATATATATATATATATATATGACCAAAAATAGAAAACGAACTGTTAATTACTGACCATGTCTTTCTGATAATTTTATTATTATAAAATCCTTCTGAGTTCTTAAAAATAAACTCGGATGTAATCATCAAGAATAGGACAAAGATTAAGAGATATGCATTGTCAAAAATCACAGAGAAACCTTCTGCTAGGCCATGTTTCAACTTTCAATCGTTACCAAAAGCGGAACTGATTGTCAAGTGGGCTGCGAAGGAGCTGAATGCTTGAAAACGAAGGAAGGCTGCTCTCGGTCATAAGAGCCTGCTGCTCCTGTTTCATATCATCCAACCGCGATGGACGGGGACGCTGTTTCCAGGAGAGACTTTGGACCTACCCTGGACCCCCCCGCCTGTCAGTGAAGAATGGACCGCATTTGGTAGCAGATTTTGTCACCCAAAACATAAAAATTTGTAGAGATTCACTCGTTCACAAGCAAAGCATTTCGTGAAGTTCTATAGTTAAAAAGATAAAAGAGTGACAGGTAGAAAGTGAACGAATCATTTAGCTTAAAACATTAACTGATTGCCAAATGCTAATAGTACACTGTCGAACCACTAAAAGTGTAGTGTCAAAGTTCTATTGTCGTCAAATTCACGTGGAACTTGCAAGCAAAGGTTGGGGCACAGGGCCACAGGGGTTGCTCACGTAGACACAATTGACGATCCGCGTGGGAAAGCCCAGAATAAACAAAAGAATAACGTACAACAATCCACCTGGCAATTTGCACTTTTTGACTTTCCCTGTATGGAAGCTTACTAAATTTTGAGTTTAAGGAATCTGCTTTTGGCTTGTGAGCTTGTGAGGGTATGTTTGGGGTTAAGATCCGTGGGGAGGGAGGTGTTCCCCCATGTCCTTGTGGCCTGTGGGTAATTTGCATTTTGCATGATCGAGGCGTGGCGCCGAGGGTGATGATTACTTCAGCCGAGCGGCAATGATTACGCAGAATGGGGCCTTAATTTCAAAAGTTGCCCCTTGTGCCCAGGCGTTTGTTTCCATCGCTGGTGTTCCTTGGTTAAACAGTTGTGAGGTCTGGCCCCACGTCTGTAGAATCTCTTGCTCCCTCCGCACGGGGGCCCCCACCGTCGCCCTCACCATCATTACTCCCACTGCCCTCTGCTCATTGCATTAAACCCTTACCTTCCTCTCTCAAAGACACTGCTACAAGTACTCTATTACCAAAATGCATATATAAGCCCTTTCTTTCACGAATGCCCACCATCACCGATCACCACCATGCAAGCTCAAGCCAGCAGTATTTTTTTTGTGGTGTGAATGACTGTGATTATGATGTAGGGACTAATTTGACCAAATACTCTACTGTAGACTGCCCTCAGCGGCAGCACCAAGCTGGGCCGGGCTGCCAGTTAACCTGTAACTTGTCAATTGAGTCAATCAGATAATTTATGGAGTTGCATTTACCTTTCTTCTTCTTTTCTTTTTTTGTTTTCTTTCGTACTTTAGTAGACAGATGAAGGAGAAAAAAGTAAGGTACACATTGATGATGAGTTAATTTGCACGAATCCAAACAAAGCATTACCATCGGCCATAATTGAATATTGTATTTTGTAATTAAGGCAATAATAATTGTATTTTATCTAGAATTTGTCTTTATTTTCTTTAAATAAATATACATTTTATGATTTCAACCTTTTTTCATATAACACTCAAAATATATTTTTCTTAATTAGTATGCATTCTATGGACAAATAGTGTTTTTATAAACAATTAAATTAATAATTTTATTTAGTAAAACTATAAAATACTCTAAATGTTGTATTGACATCTTGATAAGAACAAAATTAACAGTTTAAATTTTTCATGAAAATAAAAATTACCCACTAATTGAAAAAAAATCATAAAAAAATTTGATAAGATTTACCTTTTATCTTTTTACTGATAAAGAAAATGTGGGCTCGCCAAAATTCTCCAAATTAACAATTACTGTCCGTGACGACACAAACCTCTGTCGGATTAGATCTCAACGGAAAGATTGCGTTTGGTTTTTTAAAATTGCTATCTAGAAATGGTTAATGCAAATAATTGTTTCTCCTGAGCATGGCGACAGAGAAAAGGTTATTGCTGGAATCACAAAGCGCCTGATTGAGCAAAAGCTGTCACGAGTCATGATCGTGCTATTATAATTCTTGCTTTGACATTTTGTTTTCGTGAGAATCGTCAACGAGTTCTTCCGTTAGTCCAGGCAGTTTATTCGTATATGAAACTCTTTCTTTCAGGAATTTCGTCAAATTTTCAATTAAAAATGATTTTTGTTTATTTTTTAACGAGTGAATATTTATATCTTATTTGAATTTAACAAAAGAAGTATTACAATTATCTTGTTTTTCCAATTTATTTTTTTATGTTTAT